GTGGGGGGGTGGGGTGTGAACATAGGGAACTTCTACTTCCAGTCAAGATGGAGTAGAGGGACTGGATTTAAACTCCTACCATGAGACAGCCACAACTAAAAAGATTATAGAAAATGAACAAAGGAACTGAGAAGCATGTCTCACAAAAAATGGCCTAATGACCTATACATATACAAAAATGCATACACATACACACACACAAAAAGTTGCTCAACATCCATACTCACCAGGAAATTGCAAGTTCAAATCACAATGAGATACCCCTACATGCCTACCAGAATGGCTAAAATAAAGAGAAACAAGAGGAGAGAATGATAATGATGACAGCAAGTGCTGGCAGAGATGCTGAAGAGCTAGAATTTTCACATGCTCCTGGTGTAACAGAAACTTGCACAACCACTCTGGAAAAATGCTTGGCAGTATCAATGGAAGATGAGCATACACAAATTGAATAATCCAGGAAATCTATAACTAGACTTTCAAAATCCCAGAAATGTATCTATGCACAATTAGAACAAACAAGGATATTTATAATGGCATTACTCATAATGGCCCCACTCTGGAAACCATTCAAATGCGCATCACCATAGCAAGTTCACAAAGTAATCACCATACACTATATAGTGGACCACCACACTGCAATAAGACAATGAACTCGAATGCTATAAGCAACAACTGATGGCTCTCCTTCCCACACTGGGAGGTGAAAAAAAATCACGCATCACAAAGGACAAATGTTTATGGTTTCATTTTCTTTTACAGGTAAAATGAATTGGTGGTAACAGAAGTCAGAATAATTCTTACTTTTGTGGGGTGGGAGCGGTGGTGGCTAGGAGGGGCATGATGGGGTTACAAAGGTGTGTTCACTTTGTAAATACTCATCAGGATGTCTACTTACACATGTGCATTTTATCACTGTCACACTACTTATCTCTCCATACCAAATGTTTTCCCACCAGTATCTTATCTTTTCTTGATAAGCTTTAGTCACTAAATTATGCATGTCAACAGATTCTGAAGTTTTAGAAAGGAAAATCAGGTATGCTGTCTTCTATCATGCTGATTTTTTTTTTTTTTTAAATCTACCTAGAAAATTCCCCACCCTAGTCCTTCTAACACTACATCTCATCTCTTGCTCACAGGGTAGTCAACAACAGCAACAGAAACTGGCAGGGGTACCACAAAATACCATGTACACTTCAGACTCTGCATAAATACCTGCTGAATAAAAATCTGCCCCAGGAGAGCCAGAAACAGAAGGAAGCAGAGACACACGCTTTTCTCTATTGTGAGAGTAGCGGTAAGTGGACAGATCCCCACAAGAATATTCTGGAATCATTGAATTACTAAGTCAGGGTATATTAAAATCTTTAATCATTTTATATAATACTGTATTTCTCTAAAAAATTGGGGTGACAGGGCCTCCCTATTGGCACAGGGGTTAAAGACAGTGCATTCAAGCTACTGCCAGCCACTGTAGTGTGAGTTTAATTCCCAACCAGCTGGGGAGCTGACCCACATGGTGCAGCAGACCTCTCCTGTCTCACCTGCTGCTTGTTCCCCTCAGCAGTGTATTTCAGTCAATACTCCTGTTCTGCTCCCCACTCTGTCTCTGGTGAATACTCTCACCCTCTGCACCTCTAGCCTATACCCCAGGTTCTTATAAGCATAAATAAATAAATCGTTTAAAAAAAGGGAAAAAATTTTCTCACACAAAACTAGCCATAAGGGATTGATCACAAAGATATACATGGAACTGATAAACTCAATGAAAATAAACTCCATCAAAAAATGGGCAGAAGAGCTAAAGACACTTCTCCAAAGAGGAAATGCAGATCGCCAACAAGCATATGAAAAAATGTCCAACATCACTTGTAATAAGGGAGATGCAAATTAAAACCACAATGAGATACCACCTCACCTCAGTGAGAATGGCACATCTTAAAAAACTAGCAACAACAAATGTTGGCGAGGATGTGGAGAAAAAGGAACTCTCCTGTACTGCTGGTAGAACTGTAAACGAGTACAACCCCTATGGAAAACTGTTTGGAGGTTTCTCAAACTGCTAAACATGGAGCTTCCCTACGACCCAGCAATCCCACTCCTAGGTATCTACTCAAAATACACAAAACACTGATTCAGAAAGACACCTGCACCCGCATGTTTATTGCTGCTTTATTCACAACTGGAAAGACATGGAAACAGCCCAAATGCCCAAAAGTGGATGACTGGATTAAAAAGATGTGGTACATATACACAAAAGAAAATTACACAGCAACCAAAAAAAAGAAACACACGTCTTTTGCAGCAGCATGGATGGAGCTGGAGAAGATCATGCTTAGTGAGATAAGCCAGAAAGAAAAGGAAAAATACCGGATGGTTTCTCTCATAGTAGGAATATAATGGACCAGGCATGAAAATAATAATGATGAACAGCTATATACTAGAGACATTTTATGGGGGTGCAGTGGGGGGAAGAAAATGCACTGGACTATGGTGATGGTACACGGGTGATCTGGTGATGGGAAGCCCACGGGGATTGCAACTGAGATGAAAAAATGCACAAAATGATGTAAAAATAAACTGTTACATTATTTTTAAATATATATATTTTTTTAAAAACTGGGATGATAAATGGTTTAACACAGCAGAAATGCTGTGTTTAGAAATGCTTTTCACAGTGTTTTGGGAACAAGCAGAAGATGCTCAGGTTTTGTTAACTTTAGAAGTCTGATCAAGAAAAGAACTATGATTTACTTAATAGTCAGGTTTTGGATTTACTGCATGGACTTCATCTTCCTTTACTGCATGGCTCATCTTCCTAAAGACCCTTAATTTATTCTGATGGCACCTACTGACTATAGCTATTTGCTTCCTTAAAATACTTGTTCAGGATCTCATCCAAATAAATTTTTTATGAGATACACATGAAAATACCATTTAAGCTGCAATGTTTGAATACAAAGGTTTTCATTTGCAGGAATTATGTTAACTACTGTTGAATCAGTAGATGTATATACTTCAACTCACATTATCCTTTTTTTGCTAGACTGTCTCATTCTTTCAAAGAGTTGATTGTATACAGCAGTAACAATAATCAACATTTTTGAGCAGATAATAAGTGCTTTCTATATTGTTTCATATCTTAAGTGCTTTCTATGTTGTTTCATGACATTCTTTAAAAAAATATGCTAGATACTATAACAGTTATTTCTCCCTAAGCTACTCTACTAACAAAAGAACAGTACCTCAAGGAAATTAATAAACTGGTAATAGTGAAAAGTTATATCTACTAAAACCAAAGCAGAGTTATTATCTGTGGTTAGCTTAAAAAACCAACCAGCAACCAGTGTATAAACCCACTTGTAAGACTGAAGTTCATTTATGTCAAGTATCAACCAATCTAAAAATTCAAAGAATATTTTTGGAAGTATTTATTGAGAATGTAATCAAGACTCATGATTTGGGGGTTAATACTGCACATTCAAACTTTTGATCATGAATTTGTTAAAGTCAGACTAAACAATATTTTAACTGGATGTGACCTAAAGATTTACTTTTAGAATTATAGAATTCAGTTAAATAATTTTTAGTTTCTCCAGTCTATTCAATGAAGAACTCTCATTATTGAATGCATCTAGTAAAATGGAATTTATTCTATTTTCTAAACAGCCCTAATCTTAGTTAGTCAAAATATTCTTTGTTATTATTTCTATGTATTTGATTTCATACACTACATTTCAAAGATCAAGTCTAACCACCTCACCCCCTCATTATTCTCAGCCCTTCAAATATCTGAGGACAATTTCATTATTTCCACTTCAAAATTCTTCCTGGTGCCAAACCTGCACTTTCTCAGGCTAAAGCAATGTTCATTCACTTCTCCAGGCAGCGGAGTTCCCAGACTTTCCTTGCCCTCAGCAGCATGACACGCATACCCCACACACATCCCTGTGGGGAGTCCAGTGTTAGTTCTCAGCAACAGCTCACTGCTGACCAAACACTGAACTGAAAGCAGTCCCCACCAGAACTGCTGGTTATCAAAATCCCCACCAGAAGCGTTGGCTACAAAACCGGAACATCAGCCTTGAAAGATGAAATAGCATTAATGTAATGACAGACGCAGATCTAGTATCAAGTCTCCCAGCTACTGAATTGTCTTCTTCCCAACACACCATAATCACATCCTGGTAAAAAATGTAGCAATGACAGTACTGAAAGTCTGAAAATGCAAGCTCTTCTTGTAACACACAGAAAAAATCCTTAAGGACTTTTATCAAGACCTTCACCATAATTAAATTCCTATTTTTTGGTGGGAGTCCCAGTGTTTATTTTCTTGCTTTGCTCATCTATGTTTTCTAATTTGCTTTTTGAAAAATACATATAGCCCCTATAACAAAAGTTCATTTTTATAAAATAAAGAGGACATTCTTAGACAAAATGACATTCTAAGTGTGACACAACTTACTTCAATTATGATTTTAATTTTAAAGAGCTTAAATTATGAAGTACTGGTTAACTTACATTTTTATGTCAAAATATACCTTGCAAAAAAATGTTTTATGACAATGGTTTTCTATCATAACATTATGGCTTGAAATGTTAAAAAAATTAACTATATGAGCACATGCAATCATAAAATTAATTTGTTAGTACATACAAAATTGACATGGTCAAATCAATCGACATTGCCATTAGTGTTTGAGTAATTAAAACCAAAAAATCCACCACTACGGTCTGGTGATAAAATACACATTTAAGTCTACTAGACAAAAACAGTTAAATGAACTTGAAAAAGCATGAAGATTATGAGTTTCAAGCACTAACTGCAAGAACATTTGTCAAATTCCAAATGTTAGGTGACAATTTAGCGATCAGGGATGGTACGGATGTAAGCAAGCAGCATGAATGAACACAGACTGTAAACTCTCGGTGACATTCAGCTTGTACTACGAAAGGGAAGCCCCCTTACAGAGGCACTGAGACACTGCCCTCTGTACCTGGCACATCCTGGGGGAGCTCAGATGCCACCTTCTTCTCTGCCATGTTGCTGCTATCATGGGTCTCTGAGAGACACCCCACAGGACTCCACCCTTCTGAGGGACTAGTCTCTTCTGAAGCAGCATTTGTTGTGTTGTCGCCAAGATTTGCTGACACAGAGTTACCTTTATCCCCAACTTCTGTTGGCTCTACAGTAAAATGCACAACAAAACTTTAAAGATTCCTTTAAAATTGCTTTAGGACAAATGGCCACATTCAAACAACTACTGAAAATGATCACCAAAAAAACCAACAAAAAACAAAACCCTGCTGGCCAATTTGAAGCAATTAGATGCTGGGATATTTTTGTAATAATCTAGAGGATTCGTTAAGAATGTTTAAGTAATTCATATGAAAAATAAACATTTCAATCACATAAAAGGTGTATTATCTGGTATAAAAACTGATTATTCACCAAGAATACCAAACTCATTACAATGATAATGCAAGTTACAAGGGGGAAGTGGATCCTAACCTCTCTAGAAACATAAATTACAAGTAGTTGTTCATAAAAAAATTTTCATTTTGCCAAGTAAAAGTGGAGATTTCATAAACAATGCTGATGAAATATTTCTTTTTAACCAAGTAATTTGTTTACCCTCAGATTTTTCTTGTTCGGGATCATCATCTGGTATTTTGTCATCACTGTCTTTTTCCAGGGATGGGTCTTCAAGCTCTTCTCCAGTTTTTTCAGCATCTTTGGAGTTGTTATCTTCAGTCTCATTCTTGTCCTTTTCTGTTTCTTCTGCGCTTTTAACAATATCAATGTCTCCCTTTTTGGCTCTTATGGATTCCAAAATTTCTTCTATGATAAAAATGAGAAAAAAAGGTGTTGCTACATAGACCAAATACAAGAGTATTATTAATGCCACTTAAGTGTCTCAGTACAAGTTATTAAAGTTGAGCATGTAAAAAGCATCAGAACTATGGAATGAGGATTAGGACTAGCAATAGAATCTGGGTGTTTAGAGAACTAAACCAATTTAGTTATCTTCACTTCAAGAAAACACATGCTAATTATCGGCGCTGCTTTTTTCTTTTTCTTTTTTTTTTTTAATAAAAATCTGTCTATCTTTTGAAATTGACTCTTGTCATAGAATACTGTCACATCCTCTGCCACATGGGCTGCATGGCAAGCGGTAAGAAGCTGAGCGTGGTCTAGTGCAGATCTGACCTGTATGTGCTGTGTGACCCAAGGCAAGCTATTTGATCTTCAGTCCTCAACTGTAAAATGAGAAAACAGAGACCTCATCTGAAAACACTTCTCTCAGAAGTCTCATAAACTATTCTCCAAGTCAGCAATTCCCTAAGAACTTGAATTCCCTCTCAGCCTGGGCAGAATACTACCTTGGCCATGGTGTGCACCACAGGGTAGTATCAGCACATTTTTTATTTTGTTGTTTAAATTATTTCAGCTTTATCAATGGCTACTTTTCCAGGTGAGTCCTGTGTCCTTTAGACACACCTCATTCATTCACTCATTTGTTCACGAACCCATTCATTCATGCTTCCACTTTCCAGCATCACAAGATGTTCCAGGTTCACTGTGTATCTCTCTGCCCCAGCCCTAAAATCCAGCATCCCTCTAAAAAGCGTTAGTTCTTCTTGTACTGGAGAATGGTAAAGAAGCCCTGATCCGGGCAGTAGGCATACTTGTTACTGCTGGGTTGTCTGGTCTCTGCTTCCACATTCAGCCAACACAACTTAAAAGAGGCCTGTGTGGATACTACCCCTCACACACACACCTGGAACCTGTCTGCATGTGTGTGAGCGGCGAGCAGGGGTACAGGGTGCGTATGAGAGGGGCTAACAGCACCGCTTGCTTATTCTGTAGTTTTCTCCAACGATAAATTTGTTCTCCTTATCTATAATAAATCTATTTATTTGTTCAATCCTAGTGTACATATTAAAGCAGTTTCAGAATTGCTATGAGAAAAAAATTCACCAATAAGAGAGAGCAAGTAAAAGTGTTTTAATGGGGATTTTTCTATCTGAACACTTAATTCACTGCCTTACGAAGTTGCTGAGGGGACTAGTGAAATATCTAGTGGAACAACTGAACAATGCCTCAGTAGGCACTGAGAAGAGTTCATTTCCCTTCTTCTTCCTCATCAATTTTCAATTCTTACAAGTCCCTCCTCCTCTAGTACCAAGTTGGTTGCACCTTAGCAAAACAAAACAGGAAAAGAAAAGAATGACATATTTTGTAGAAGTTTCACCATTATATCAAAGGTAATCATTTACCTTATTTAAATGAACTCCAAAAATAAATAAATAAATTACACATTGTTTTTAAGAGGGAAACTGCAGATTGCAAAGCAATCTCACAATACACAATTTTGGCCACCTCACTTTTTAATACATGTGGTCTAACACATAAAACTCTCCTCTTGTCTTGATTACTACAAAAGTTTAACCATTTAAAAATATATATTATATGTTTAGTTAAAATGAAAAATAATGTGATTATTGCAGGAAATTTGAAAAATACAGAAACCAACTAGATAATCCTACTGTGCTGGGCTCTCCCTGGTAGCGCATTGGGTTAAAGCACTGCACCCTGTAGCTCTCAGAAGCCACAAAGCACGAGTTCAATGCCCAGCTGATCCACAGGGCACAGCAGACCTCTCCCGACCCGCCCACTGCTCCCCTCAGCAGTGTAGTTCAGTAGATCTGTTCTGCTTCCCACTGTCTCTGGTGAATCCTCTCACCTACCACACCTCTGGCCTGTACCCCAGTTCTGTAAGTATAAATAAATATATTTTTTAATTTTTTAAAGATGTATTTATTTATGCATACAGAACTGGGGTACAAGCCAGAGGTGCAGGGGCGGCGAGAGGCTTCACCAGAGACAGAGCGGGGAGCAGAAGAGGCAATGGAAGAAGTACACTGCTGAGGGGAGCAGTGGGCGGGTCAGGAGAGGTCTGCCACGCCATGTGGTCTCCTCCGGGGCAGGCAGGAATCGAACTCATGCGGAAGTGGCTTTAGCTTCTCAGTGCTGTGCTTTAACCCGCTGCGCCACCAGGGAGGGCCAAGTATAAATAAATATTTTTTAAAAAATAATAACCCTACTGTGCTAATGGAAGATTTTTCTTTGTATGGTTAGAGGTAAACTTTATACAAACATTCCATCAGTTACAGGTATGATTTGACATGACAGCACAATGATTTGATATTTGTTTGTACTGCCCAATGAACACCATAAAAAGTCTAGTGAATGTCTATCGCCATACATAATTACAAAATTTTTTTTTTTGTGATCGGAACTTTTAAGATATCCTCTCACAGAAACTTTCAAATGTGCAATGCAGCATTAACTATAGATAACATGCTGTGTGCTTTGGAAAAGCAGGTCTATTTACACAAATGGTTAGTAAAGGAAGAGACTTTAAGTACCTCAATGAGCAAGAAATGTTTGTGCATAGTATCTTATATATTTCGTCAATTTACAGTGCTCAATCATATGATAATCTATAACAGAATTAAACAATCCCTCCATATTGGACATTTTCCGTTTTTCACATTTTCCCAAATCAGACTGCCAATTATTCTGATTTCTCCATTTTTATTTTGGTTTTATTCTTTATTGAATTAGCTGGCACTATTTGCATAGTATTGTACACAGATAAGATCACTCTAGAGAAAAATCTAATTAAGCATACTTGATACAAATATAGTTCGTACTGCTTTTTAGGAGACTGGACAAAGTTATTACTAAACTGATAGCTAAGGATGTAAGAGAGAGGTAAAAGGGATTTGTCTGTTTTAATGCTAATATTCAAAAAAGGAAATTAAAAGGGTACGTACGTAATGAGACAAATTAATAAAATTCCCTATTATTAATCTATAGTATGCGAGGGAGGGAAGACAAGGGAACAATATTACTGCCATTATTGCTCTCCCCAAAGAATTCCAAGTGAAATTATCTAATGAAAGAAATCCCTAATTTTTCTAAACAGATCTAATAAGAAAATACTTCCAAATATCAGATATAAGTATAATCGGCCTGTTTCTGAACAAATTCTATTGTTATTTAACAGCATTTATATCACAGTACAACTCTCATTCTCCCAAAACATGTGTGATTTAAAGAGAATATTGATGCAGAACATGATGATGAGAACAAGCTTGACTATAACTGAACCAAATATATTTATTCAATATAAGCATTCTGTTTTTAAGCAGAGAATGGGGAAAAGTAATTATATTTGTAGTAGAAAATGTATGTGGAAGAGCACAACCACGCAGTTAAGTATAATTTCAGAACCGTAACCAATTACTTTTCTAAGTTAAGATTATACAGTACTATTAGGAAACATGACAGTTAATAAAATTGCACAGAGTACATAGCTGTTTTTGAGTGCAATAATGGTTGTCTCTAAAAAAAGGAAGATGAAACTAAGGTTTATGAAGGAGATTCACTTTCCACTATTTTAAACTCTAAAAACTGTACAGTTATTATCTTTTAAAAAGCAAAAAGTTGAGCAATAAAATTAGTAGGGTAGTACTGAATTATCACCCAAAGTATAAAGTAAATATCCTTAATGCTATTCCGATATAAAAGACTGAATAAATGGAGACTAGATAAACTATCTAGACTTCTGTAGACAACAGCCCCTCGACCCCCAAGGAAAGTGGAGGATGACTCCTTACCCACCACATGTGGGCTGAGCATAGTGACTTTCTTCCAAAAACACAGTAAGTGTGGGAGGCGTCCTTTTACAGGGGAAAAGCCTGACAAACACGGGCTCAGCCTCATCAAGGAGAACGTCAGCGCTGAGCCATGTTGGCAGCAGGTGCTGGAGCAGGATGATGAGAACAGTCTTCGCCCTGTGGTGCTCTCGACCAGGTCTGCGAGCCCGTGCTGACATGGGCAGGCCGCCCACTCACAGGGAGGGCGCTGGCTACACACCTGACTACTGCTCTTCAAAATGATTAAGGTCATCAAAAGTAATATCTAAGGAACTGTGACCATCCGGAGGAACCTAAAGAGACGTAAGAATCTGCTGTCCTGGTCAGGAACATGACACAGAAGCAACATGAAATACAAAACTATGGAAATCCAGGTTAATGCCAACGCAGCAGCACCGGCTCATTAGCGACGACAACTATCCCACACTGATGTGAGGTGGTAAAAATGGGGGAACTCTGATATGGGGAATATGGACTTCCTGTCCAATGTTGGCACCTTCTCTGTAATTCTAAAATGAAAGATTTTGTTTTGAAAAATGAAACAGTAATCTTTTAAAGAACATTACTTCTCACAGTAAAAAGCAGGATTCAAATCAACTGTGGTGAGGGGCTTGGTGTGGTAACATATCTGAAAAGGGGTCCACCTGTAACTCCTAAAACATACAGTATTGTAAAACAATGTTACCTCAATTTAAAAAGTGGGGGAGGGAGGGATTCCCCAGCTGGTGTGATAAGATTTTTGAATGAAGTAAACAAGTGATCGCCATGACACTAAAACGCACAGCATTCCTAATTTATGTTGGGTTGAAATAACATTAAAATAAATATACATACTTCAAAACTTCAAATTTTTCAATTTTTATGTTGAAAATTTATCTGAAATTTAACATAGACCAAATGGAAAAATTTCACTCTCACCGTTAGCTGCCGCCAGAAAGGACTTGTTGCTGCCCCGGGCCTTATTGGTCAGGTCTTCAGTTATGTCCATGTGTCTATGGATTTCTTCACGCATTTCTTCGAGAATTTTGCAAAGTTCTGCTTCCCAGTAATCTTTGTCTAGACAGTCAATTAATTCTGCAAGTTGAACCTTTGTGCTGTAGTACCAAATTTTCTTTTCATTTTCATTCTCTGTATCTTCTTCTCTGTTTAAAAAAAGTACAAAAACACTAAGTTAGACCTGATGGCACTTATCTGACAATTTCATCGGTCCACTGACAGCTAACATAGATAACACATCAAGCTTGTGCACTAAAGCTTAATATTTGCTCACAAAAGAACCCCTCAAAATCTCATTCAAAATCAAGTTACTCTTAATTTATTTGAGCAACTTCTATTATTTTGATTTCTCAGCCCACAATAACTTAGGATAAAAGAATTTAGGAGTAGTGGTAGGGAAAGAGAAATCAGTACAGTAATGAGGAAGGATATCTAAAAACACAATACACTGAGGACCTCAAAATTCAGAGGGTGTGGAGCCTCCCTGACGGTGCAGGAGTCAAAAGTCTCAACACTATCAAGCTATCACCAGCCACTGCGATATGACCCCAGCCAGGGAGCTGACCCACATGGCACAGCAGACCTCTCCTGTCTCACCTGCTGCCCCCCTCAGCAGTGTATTTCAGTACATCTGCCTGCTGCTCCCCACTGTCTCTGGTGAATCCTCTCATCCCCTGCACCTGTGGCCTGTACCTCAGTTCTTGTATGTATAAATTAAAAAAAAAAAGTCAGAGGGTATGAGTACTTTGTAGAAGACAGCTTTGGTTACACTTCAAGAGACTTCAAGATCATCAGGATAACAACGTAATGGACTGAACTTTAACTGGAATATTTAAACTGTACTCATAACATAGTAGGTACAGAGCAGATTTGCATTATAACATATGAAGAGGTTAGAAATATTCCCATCAAAATAGTGTAAATGCACTGCTAAACCTGGTCCTTGCAAGAGACATCTCGATATGCAGTTAACTCTCTTCTTTTTAGGGGCAATCAAAGCTCAAATTGGAAAGCAGAGGAGCAACTTCCTTTTCCTGCCTCAATTTCTCCAAAGTTCCCATTAACTTTAACAGAGGTGGAGACTTCATCTGAAAACACAGGCAACTTAGTGACTAGGACCAGACTGAGAGACACACAGCTGATGATTCTACTTCTCTCACTCAGAAAGGATTTCAGAAAGGATTTCAGGGTATGTGTGAAGTACCCAAGGAGGCAGTCTACCTACTGTGTACTCCAAGGCAAATTCATGGAGCTGAGAGAACTGGACTTTAAAGATATGGGTTGAAATGGCTTCAGTCACCTATAAGACACTTAGCAAGGACAAGAAACAACCTCTCTGAACTTTTTCCCTAGCTGAGACCTTACTGACATGCAACATATTGTTAATTACAGGTTTCAACACTTATATTTACCTCACTGGTAGTGGGAATAACAGTACCTGTCTTCAGAGCCACTGTTAGGAATGAAAGGTATTATAATAAAGCATCTATGTTACCACCTCGGGACAGCATTAGTAACCAATAAATATATGATTATTACTATTTAGCTAGTAAAATCTTTTAAAATGTGCAGAATTCCAGAAATGAAAGTTATTTTGAAAATATAAATTGTGAATAAAAACATCAAAATTGGGCCCTCCCTGGTGGCACAATGGGTTTAAGTGCAGCACTGTGGAGCTATCCACAGCAGAACTTTGAACCCCCGCCAAGGAGCTGACCCACAGGGCGCAGCAGACCTCTCCTGTCTCCGCGCTGCTCCCCTCAGCAGTGGATTTCATATCTGCCTGTTCTGTTCCCCACTCTGTCTCTGGAGAATCCTCTCACCCCCTGTGCCTCTGGCCTGTACCCCAGTATTTGTATGCATAAATAAATTTATCTTTTAAACAATCAAAGTTATTTAAAAACTTCAAAGAAAAAATTTAAGGGCTTTGCTCTTTCAAATCAGCATCTGCCCACAAGAGATTAGTGTATTTCTCTATTAGATGTTTTTTTCAAGAAATTTTCCAAAAATCAGGGGCCTCCCTGATGGCACAAGGGTTTAGTTAAAGCATAGCACTATATAGTTACCCACAGCCACTGCAGCATGAGTTCTATCCCTGGCCATGGAGGTGACCCACATGGCACAGTAGACTTGTCCTGACCTGCCCACTGCTCCTCTCAGCAGTGTATTTCAGTAGATCCACCTGTTTTGCTCCTCACTGTCTCCGTTGAATCCTCTCACCTCCTGCACCTCTGGACTGCACCCCAGTTCTTGTATGCATAAATAAATCTTTTTTTTTCTAAAAATCATTTTCTAAATCACTCTAGATTTTACTCTCTAATGGGTATTTCTACTGACGTCTTATGACCAAGTGATGCAATGTCTTGTTCCTGTTTGCAATGTTTAAAATGTTAATCCTCTAATCAATAAGCTTTACCACATCAAATATTAAAAAATTAATTAACAATATTAAATCAGAAAGCACCTACTGA